ATACAAATATTTCTCCCGGTCCAGGAATCGAACGTGGGACCTCTGCGTTGCAGTCCGGCATGGTAACCGTTCGGCCACCGAGGCAGTGTCCCTTAGATCTTTGCGATTCAAAGATCTGAGTGGCAATGCTACTGTTATGGACAGGCGTGTCGCTTGACACCAGGCGCACGACTTATTTATCCCGTCACTATTCTATATAACCTGTGTTTGAACAATTTTTGTAATTTCGTCTTTTTATTATTGACCGTGCAATATAGAAACATCTCACTCACATTTTAGCGCAGATATCTAGAAAGCGACGAGGGCAAATGTAAAGAAAATTTTAATTACTGCTAATAAACCTCGATTGTGGCTTAACAAGACAAAGACAAACATGTCTTCGCCAAGCTGTTTTGCTTTCAATAATTACCTCACGCGAATTGTCTCTACAGGCGCGAGAAAGAACATCGCACACACTAACGTAATGTGCTAACCGTTTGGTAGACAAGAGAAGAAATTGTAATAGTTTTTTCTCATGACTTTTGTGTAATGTGCTTACACGGTAAACCCGTTTGGGGTTGTACCTGATTATCGACCTTATTTTTTGAATTATAATACTTACTTGTCACGACTAAACAAAATCTTCTGGATCTGGTAAAACAGCGTCTGATATTCGATTGCAGTTTTTGCCAAACCCGTCTAACAAGGGTTGTGCTTTCAATTAAGAAATTCTATAATGTTTTTTTTCAAAGCCCCGCACTAGAGAAAACCTGTGTCGTGGACGCCATAGACACACAATTAGACAACATCAAGTTACACCCAAACGCACGAGAGAAATATACGCCATACCTCCTCTCTCATAGACCTTTGCGTGGCAAACCAGTAAGGTAACCATTCGGTCATGGAGGCAGACACTATTCTTTGAAAAGGCATATTTTCAGCAATGGACAGTAGCATGCTGACGTGGTGAGTGTTGTTACTTCTACTACTTCATATGCGTAGAATAAGTTTTTAGTAGGAGTAGAGCTCCTTGTGAAAGAGTTCGTCCAGGGAAGTACTGCCACCTTACCTATTTCTGCCGCCAAGCAGTAATGCTCACATTACTGCGTTCCAGTTCAGAAGGGTAAGGGTACTGGTGAAATTACAGGCACATGGGACTTGTCAACTTATGTCTCAGGGTGACGGGTGCAGTGGCAGTGCCATGAGATCTTTGCGATTTAAAGCTCTGAGTGGCACTGCAAATGTTATGGATAGGCGTGTCGCTTATAATAAAAAAAAGAAAAATTATAACATTGTTTGAATGAAGCACCCATCTTTTTACGTATGCTTTTTTTGTCTGAGAGAATTGAGATGTTAAAAATACCTCCCTAAAATGGTCACAAAAAATGTGAATATCGTAGTACAAAAAGATAATGAATGATATTCAATAAATAAATAAAGTCTCTGTTACTGTGTTAATGTTAAAAACATACTAACATAATCTTTTCATTGTTCGTAGCATGCAAATTTCTTACATGTTCTGTTATAGTGTGCACCACACTATTGCCTGCCTGTAGCGTCACAGGTCAATATTGGATTATTGCTTTATTACTGCTGATAATGTGTCGTTTTAAAATTTTATTTAAACTATAAGATAGACACCTTTACCAAAATTGCAAATTAATTAAAGGCCTGAAGGATCAAGTAGCTTTAACTTAGTGCTAATAAAACGTTCGAGTATTTAAAAATAGCTTTTTAAAGCATAAAATTGAAAGAAATAAAAAAAAAGGAAAAGGGTTGCGTATGTCCATCGTTTCCCGCCCACTTATAGACCGGTTCGTAAAAAGCTAGTCCCCGCGAATGCACTCAGGGCTTGCACCTGGTGCACACCGGTGAAAGCTGCCTAGTCTAGTGCATATGTGTTCACAAGGGGCTTTCAATTGATACAAAACCTAATTCCCCTTTTGTGTTGCATTGATACTTATTCGAGAAGTGAATGTTATGAATAAAATAATTTTTTTACAAGATGCTTTTTGTATGACTGATGTAATTGAAAACTTTTGCATTGTCTAGCGTACGTTTAACACACTCTAAATCGTACCAATAAAGGCATACGCAGTGCAGTGCTCGTCATACTACTCCACAAAACACGATTACTTGGTCGCCAAGTTGCCGCCATTGCATTTTAGAATTACGTTCCATTGTAGGTTTGTACCAATTAAGAAAATATTAAATTAAAACGAAACGTACTTTGCGTGAAATGAAACACATATTTCAAATTGCCATAAAAAAAATACCTTATCCCCTTGGTAGATTTTCAATTTAAAATATTACTTGATTTTAATTTTATGCTGACAAATAAATTACACGGAACAGCAAATCGTTGAAAGTAGATTTTTTTTAATTGAACTTATTTAAAAAATCTCCAAAACAAAATTATATTTTGTACTAAATTTCTACCATTTTGTCCCAAATAGTTCGACAAGTCAAGATTTTTATGACAATACAATTTTTCAGTCAATCTTCAGAGATTCGCTCTGGACCTTTTGGAGGGAAAAGTGTCGTTTTTATTTTGACTTTCAATTATTTTGTGAAATCTAGTTTAAAGTGGAATAGGATAGTGCTATTGTGCCTTAATCGAAGATTAAAACGCGAAATTATACGAATCTCGAACTAAAATACACTTATCGGCCCGTTTTAAGAAACCCCGAGTCAATCCAAGCACGCCGCCTCAAATTGCCTATCCTCTTTGTGGCGGCCATATTTACAGAAACATAATTAAACTTCATGTTTAGGCTAATGGCTTTGCCAAAGCCTTAATAAATTTAAAAAAAAAAAAAAGTCAATCTTCAGAAATGGGGGTGCTGTCATATTATTTAAAACCCAATTTTTTGGGTTTATTGAAATTTTTAAACAGCATAAACTGGTTTATAGTGTTCTTTACTTTAATTAATTGGTCTGAGTGCATTTACGAAGATCAGATAGGAAAATTTGACTGGTAAATTAATGTTTCTAGGTTATAATTTTTGTGTCATTTAGCCGTGAGAATTTAGTGAATTATTAATTTTTAACACGTTTCTAGGCGCCAAAGTTACGTTGGGAGGATCAAATTGGCCCAGTTCGACACAGCTTCGACGGCTAAAAGGATAATTGTAGCGACAGAGGAGAATGTTTTGGCTGCTCTAAACTTGAAAACTGGTAATTGATTTTATGAACTGTAATCGTTTTAATACCTTTGACTGTTATTGTTCAACGAAGCTTTTGTCTAAATCTGCCTGCGATAAGTTAGCTACGCCGACAAAAATCCAGTAACTGTGATGGGTATTTCTATACATTAACCAAATCCTTAAAAATGGTGTTAGGTTTTGAGAATAAGTTGGTGTCATAAATCTACAAACTTTTTTTGTTTTCCTTCGTTCCCCATGGAACAGGCGAAGGTCAGAGACCATACTCCCTAGTCATTAGGTTCTCTTTTTCTTCAGTCTAAAATGTTTCGCTTTAAGTCTTCAGTTTAAGTCTTTTGAGGTTGTTTTTTTATATAAAAATGTTCTAATAGTCTTTGATGATTGCCAAAAATCTAGCAGTACTAAGTTGATGTTAAAAGATGTAGATTTTATTGCTACATTATGTTTGATGCTTATCTTCTTAAATGTAACTGTTACTATTTTATATTCTCACTTTTTTATTATGCTCAGTGTGTCAGTGTGTGTACACACAAACTGTATTCCAGGAACTTGCCGATAATGACAACATACATGTATGTATGTGTATGAACTTTTTCATATTTCACAAAACAATGAAATCTGATAACAGATTAAGTCATGGTCAATTATTTCATAAAAATGTGTTTCAAATTCTATTTACGTTCTTACGTCATCTAATAGGTCCCCATGTTCAATATTGCTCTAATGGTTAATATTGTTACTAGTGGAAAACTAAACATTATTGATTGCTATTTTAGATGTATGATTAATGTGACCATTATTTCCTTCCCTCAGAACTTCTGTAAATTTATTATTGTTTTAAAAATTAAAAAAAGAACTAATCTTGTGTTGCCTGGTGGTCTGGCTGCATATATGACTTTTACTATCTTTAATATAACATACAGCAGTAACACAATATACAAAGAACACATACACAAATATTTAAGTAGTTTATTCTAAGTCCCATTGCAACACACACGTCTGTCACTCGTCTCGGCTCAGGGCTCATTGAAAACCAGCGCTGCAGTCAAATGGCTGTGGCTTATGCTGAATGAAGTTCTTTTGCATAATGTCAGAACCATACAAATGACAACATGATACAAAATGATACAAAATTTGTAGTCTTTATTATTTGTTTTTGTCAGATTTATCTTATTTAATGTTGTTTTTTTATTGTATTTTTTTTGTTTGTTAATTGATTATTATTTCTTTCATTTTGTTTTCCTTGTTTGTGTTATAATTTTTTTTTGTATCTGTGTTGTGGTTGCTATTTTTCGCTTTCGCGCCTTTAAAACGAAATTAATGTCACATGTGTCCTCTTTTCTCAAAACAGGACATTGTTATGTATTTTGGGGCCATCAGAATACGAAGCTTAAAAGTGGGACTGTCTCGCTCAAAGTGGGATGTATGTATATATAATGTCTGTCAAATATAATGTTCTCTTTCAGATTTAAGTGAAATTATTATACTATACAAGATTGCTCTTCATTCTCATTATTGGTTCAATTAAATAAAACAGGTCTCGGGCGTAACATATTCAATTACAGACTAAAATAAAACTTGGTTTACTTTTAATTATGAATCAACAGTATGTCTTTTGGGGTGGAATCACTCTGAAATTTTTGAGTAAACCAAAGAAGACTTGCTGAAAATGTTTACTCTATGGCTAACTATTTATTTGCTTAAAGAAGCAATTTTTTTTTTGTATGATATTAAGTGACGACACAAACAAATCGTGCGCATGATTGCAAGCTACACGCCTGTCCATAACAGTTGCATTGCCACTCAGAGCTTTAAATCGCAAAGATCTGAGGGGCACTGCCACCGCGCCCGGCCCTCTGAGACATAAGTTGACAAGTCTCATGTGCCTGTAATTTCACCAGCACCATCAAAACCTTCCTTCCTTCAAAACCGAAACACAGTAATGCGGCAGGAATAGGTAAGGTGGCAGTACTACACTGGATGAACTCTTTCACAAGGAGCTCTTCTGCTACTAAAACTGCTACATGTGTTTTGTAGCTGTAAAATTACTATTTACTAAAGTCCAAACTTTGGCTCTATTCTAATTTTACGGAAACAAAAATATTTTTAGCCTATGAGTATTTTGTTCTAATTTGCTATTATAATTTTCTTAATCATCAACTGTTACAATTAAAAGTATACCTTAGTTATGTACATGTAAGGTTAATATTTGGTGAAGGTTATATATTTCTAGAAAAGACGTTTTCGGTATCAGAAAGTAATTACCGTATTAAATTAGTCAATTAAAAGTTAACTTTACCAATATTTATATAAGTGTATTTGAAGTAACGTATTACTGAATTTAAGAATTTCGTGATAATATTTGCTTGTTTACTGTGAAATCGGAATAGTACTCTAGCCAAATGTATAATAGGTAAAAAAAAATATTTATATTAAACATTCTGGTAAACAAAGTGGGAGGAGGCCTGTGACATGGGACTATGTAGGCTAACTATTATTATATAATTGAATATCATGGTAGGAAAATATGATATGATATTCAATAAATAAAATATAACAAATTTTTATAAAGAACGTCTTTGTAATAATTGGCTTTATAAATATAAGTAAGTTGTAATAATTGGCTATACATTTTCTTTATATTTATATATTCAAAGTACAAAAAGTTTAAAAAAGAAGCAAAAAAAAAATAAAATAAAAAACCACGAAAAGTTTTGTGTGTGAAAAATTTATATAAAATACTCACGCGCAAATTACTCCGCCTTACACTTAAAACTATTAAGTTTCACAATTTGACAAATGCATTGCTTTAAGATTTGTTTTACATTTTTCTGGTTTACTTTGAAGTTTATCAAAAACGAAACTTGGAAATTTATTAAGCAGCAATGGTAACATGTATCTCCAAGAACGCCTTCCTTAATTTTTATTGTGTGGAAGAAGAACATACTTTGCTAGGTAATTTAAATTACGCACTTATCAATTTTTGTGGTACATATATATGTGTATATGATAAATATTAGTGTAGTCTATATTCCAATACTAAGTTTAAGTTTCATTTCCAGGCCAAGTAGTATGGCGACAAATGCTGGAGAGCGCCTCAGCAGGCAACATCCAAATGCTGTACATCACCCCGCAGTCAACTAGCGCAGACCAGGCCGTCACTGTGTCTGGCTCCAACCCTTACCTTGCCAGGGGCTGGGATGTTGCATCAGGTTAGTTCTTATTAATAGAAATACTACAATAGTAGCTTCAATCGGGGCCTATGCATATGCCTAATGCCCTCATGGTTGGACAATAATTTTTGGGAAACTAACACAAATATTTTTAAAAAAACAAAGATCTTTTGGGTTTAAACGGCGGCGCTTTTTAGCCGCCAATAATAATAATAAAAAAAAATGAAAATCTTATAAAAATATGTTAAATAAATATTACAATTTTAGTGTCAAGGTTAACATGCTCTTGATCCAAGATTTTTATTTTGTCAGTCTTTTCGCCACTTTATTATTAAGAATGCGATAATATCTCTTACCTCTGTTTGCGGGTGTCGTCTATGAAGTTTTATTCCATAGTCACCATGCTGGCTCTATTCAGGTTGGAGATGACAGACGTCTTTGAAGAATGTGAAGTTTCTCGAACTTTAACATTTTGGATACTAATTACAAATACATTTTTAAGTAATAATTAAAATACAAATGCAAAATAATAGTATTTAATTTACCAGTACATAATTTAAATACTGCGCAGTCCTGAGTTTTAGGATGTCGATAGATGACGTTGAATCGTTTTTGTGTATTTTCTAAAGTGTTCTATTAGGTAGTTTTTAGAATTGTATTAATTGTGAGTGATTTGCAATACATGGGACCCACACAAAACGACAGCGTGTGCTTGCGCAGATTTGCTCCTGCAGCATGCCATTCGGGCGGAATTGTCCTAGTAGCATCCTGAGCCGAGATCTGTGGCCATCTAGGAGCCCCCAGGCCCGCTACTTAAATTTTTATATGAGTTAATAGCCTCGCCCTTTTGTCCGGTGGCGCAATCACGCTACCAGCTACTGTAAAATGTCAGCAAAAAACTTTCCCATTGGAACATCTATTTGTTTAATTGGGGGTTATTTTGGGGACCCTATATATTCAGGATCTTCTGGGGGAATTCGAACCTAGGACTGCCATAAAAAGCAAGGGTTCTCCCAACATGACTGTCACTCTTAGGGTCGTATTCTAGAGCTCTAATCAATGCTCAAGTCAGGATTTGAGTATGGTTTAAAGCACTCGAAATCATACTCAAGCCCCTGCTACTAGGGTCGTATTTCCAGTGCTTGTGTTTCAATTGCAATCCTGACTTGAGCATTGAGTAGAGTTCTAGAATATGACCCTCAGTGATGAAACACCATTATGTTTGATTTAATCATAATACACAATAATAAATTTAGACAGCGACTATTTAATTTTTACATTTCAGGCGTTCTAATGTGGGAGTACTCTATCACGCTCCAAGATGAGTCCCGAGGTGATTTCTCAGAATGGTGGCTGTCGAACTACAAACTGAGACACTTGCTACCTTATTACGGCTCCCACATTGAGGTCACCAATTACGCCGTGGCGTCGGGACAACATGAGGGCAAGTCGTATAAGATACCCGCTGCTTGGATTAATGAGGGGTCAGTATTTAACGATTGATCTTTCGCCCTTCATGCGTCCTTAAGGCATTCGTTTTTCCTAATGATTTTTGTTTACTTTTTTTTAATTATTTATAAATGATGAATGAAATTAGCGCGTTAGATACACCGTATGTCTCAGGACATGTGGTGGATTAATGTAAAACTTCCATGTTATGGAATGCAGGTCAAATCGTTTTCTAGCGTTTTGCGGAGATAGGACGGTAACTGCTCATAACTGGTTATTGTAATGCTCAATACTTTCGTGCATACCGTAATGTTATGTACAAGGTGGTAGGTGACATGAATTAAGATGTCTTGTATTGTAATCGTCTTGGTATACCCATTTTGAAATTAATGTATTAATCATTAATACGAAGACGAACACAAAGAAAAATTTCTTCGACCCGGTGGGACTTGAACCCACGACCATGCTGCACCGTAGCATTGCTGAGAGCCCCAGGTCAAGTTACCGAGCTGTCGAAGTTCTCCTGTGTTTTAACCGATGCTATTTTCGACTTTATTTTGCATAAATAAGTTTTGTTGTATAAAGCAATATTTTTTTGTCACAGGTGCATCTTCACACCACCGTATTATTCGTGCGTGTCAGGCGGTAACCTCATCAGTCTGGACGTCACATCGGACATGCCGAAGTTGATCACAAAGCCGCTTACGAATTTTGTGGGTGAAGACTCTCCAGGTACGATTGAAAAATGTATCGATTATGACTCGTGTCAGAAATAGCCACAACAGCATCCTAAAAATGGTTGCAGGCAGATGTGATTGTCCAATTCTAAAGTACTGGGTGGAGCAAATCAAATCTGTTTTTATATATATTAAACATTGACTTACAAATAAATGGACGACGGGTCGAGTACAAAAACCACGAAAAAAATGTCCCAAGTCAACCTATTCGAAATTTAAATTGTAATGTCATCGCAGTATCGCGCTGTCAGTAGAACAAATGACAACTAAAGCGGAGTTTGGCGCTCTGTATACGATTTTAGCGCTTTACAAGTGCGGACACTTTTTACCGCGGACCCGACGTCCATATAATTTATCTATTAATAATATAATATTAAATTAATATTAAATTATATCCATATATATGGATATAATTTAATATCATTGACTTACAATTATATCCATATATATGGATATAATTGTAAGTCAATGATAAGAAAGAAGATAATAGAAAATTTTGTTATGACGTTATGTTATGTATACTAAGTGAAAATATTACTAACAATTTATATGGGTCAGAATGGTTTAAAATTTAATTTGGGCCAGCACGACGAAAGAATGATACAATTTTTTTATAATACTAAGTGACGGGACAAACAGGTCGTGCAGATTTTTGCGCTTTAAAGCTGTTACGACTAGGCCGTAACAGCTTTAAAGCGCAAAAATCTGAGGGGCACTGTCATTGCACCTTGGGCCATATAGCAAGAGTAGTCTCATGCCTGTAATTTCACAAGCACCTTTCAAAACCGGAATGCAGTAATGCTCACATTACCGCTTGGCGGTAGAATAGGTCAGGTGGGTACTTCCCTTAACCAACCTTTCACAAGGAGCTCCACTGCGGCAAAAGAATTCTTAGTAGTTTTATCCCCAGATGCAAAAAGTATGCGTTATTGGTTTAATGAATGAAGCTATGTTTTCTATGTTAGCTGTGAAATGTTTCCGTAGCATTAGCATGAAATTTGGTCGATAATGATATGTCAAACATTGCACAAATTGCAGTATTGTTTCAACAAATGTAATTGAATCGTCTTAAGTGAAAGGTAATTACATGAAACGTGTTTCGTAAAGATGTAATAAACCCTTTTTTGTAAAACTGGTATATTAATGTATTTTCAGGTAATCTTGTGCCACTGGCCGGTAACAGCTACTGTCCCGGGTTCATAATCGACGAACGCAAAATTGTAGTAATAAGGAACGAGGATTTCGAGCAAGTGCCGGTCGCGCTTGCAGACCCCACTGCCAGCGTTACAATATTGGACTCATATTCTGGACCTATGGTGCTGCAAGCGTGGACTGATTATGTTAAGGTATATGTCATTCTTTATATTGTCAATGTAAAGTTAAAAAGTCTGACGCGTCATAACAAGCTTGTATACCGGTTTTCATGGTATCGCCATCTCTGAGGTCCCGGATTCGATCCCCGGCCAGGTCAATGTAGAAAATAACTTTTCATACTGTCTCGAGTCTGGGTGTTTGTGTTACCGTCGTTGTTTCCAATTTCCATAACACAAGTGCTTTGGTTACTTACTTTGGGATCAGAACGACGTATATGATGTTGTCCAATAATATACATGTTATATGACGACTTCGATGACTCAATGGTTTTTACTGTGGGGCTAAGAGTTCCCGGATTCGACCCCGGTGTTACCCGCGGTGCACGAAAGGAGCCTCTCTCGCACCAGAATACAAGAGCTAGTATGGAATAATAATAATAATAATAATTCTTTATTTCATAAAAGATTTGTACAGGATATAACACGTAATCTGTAGATACATATGAAATTTTAACAGAATAACTCGTACAAATTAATCTATTGAACTCTGATTATCCAAACTAGGCATAGGCCTGTATCTTGGAAATCAGTGTTCGACCATAACGTTTGATCTATTCGAGTAAAACATTTAGAACATAAACAATACTACGTGTATACTAGT